CGGTCACCGGTGACCGCTTGGTGTTTGACAGTTTAGAGGTTTAGAACTATAAATAAAATAGGAAGTAAAAAGTAAATGTTTATAAGAACTTTATCATATTTATTTATTATGTAAACTAGAGTGTATGAGATAGATGTTATGGTACATCGCAGATCAATTTTATATGAATATGTTGAAGCCATTGTTTTAGGAATAAATTAGGTGTTAAAGTATCTTTGTCACTAATTGTATTGTAGTTCTTACTAAAAGTACAGAATCAGAAAGAAAGATGGAAAAGTAAATCACTTCTACATCCCTGAGCGATCATCGGTAGCTATGTCCACTCATTCCATTATAGACCTTATTTCCAATATTTAGGGACTACTTTTGTATGAACAAATTTTGTGAATTTTTCGTGAATTTAGAAGTTAATAGGAAAGCATCCTAATTAAAAAAAGGGATGCAAGTTCTTGTTCCGGAATCAAAAAAGATGCACTACTACAATTGAAATCTATACAATCATGCTAAGGTCAATAAAATATAAGAAAACAATAATGTCTTCTAGTAATAAATAAAATTTATACATACCTATCTTTCTCTTTGAACATTGTGATCTTTTGATTAACACAATAAAGAATAAGAATCGAGTTAATATCTTATTTTTATTTTTTACATACATTTTAATTATTCTAGGTTACATTAATTCTTTCAACTAAAAAATTTGTATCATACATTGCCTACCCCCATGGGAGGCAGACACCCATGATTCACTACCATACATAAGCATTGGTGTTACAGTCAGTTAATTACAGCAAGTCGAGCTTTGCTGGATTTGTATCGTGGATGTGTGTCGAGTACCGTCATTATAGACACAATTATAGAACACAGGTTGCGGTCACCGGTGACCGCTTGGTGTTTGACAGTTTAATATCTGATATAATAAGTGTGGAGATTAGGCAAACCTATGCGGATGAGGTCCTTTCCGTATAGTCAATCAGCAGAAGGCTTTGGGCTGTTGATGAGGGCTATGGCTTTGATTATAATAATCATGTCCTGACATAATAAAGAATTTTCTGCAGAATAGCTCAAAAGCTATATTATAATTGCCAATTTGAAGGGTTCTGATTATTTTGTAATAAAATGATTTAATTTATTGATCAAAGATTTGACCAAAAAGATCAAGGGTCAAGGGAACATGATTTTTATACACAAAACTTGCACAAGAACCTATGAAACTTTCCTATTATCATAGGTATCAAAACAATTGATGGACTATTAAAAGACAAGAGATGTAAACTCTCTGGTATTCAAGTAATTGTCAGGTTTATGGTTATTACTACAGCCACTACTCACTTGTGTAACTGACAATATAATCTAAGAATTATAGGAAACTACGAAAAGAATGTGTTCTATCAGTATGTATAACAGATAGATCTGTTCAATGTATGTTTTGTGTTTTGTTGTTCCTAGAAATTCCTGTAATTTTGAATAAATGTTCAGATCATAAAAATCTGAATCAGCTAAAAGCGCTGTACTTGATACATTGATAGTTTCACGGGAACATTAGAGGCTGAAACTCTGAAATCAATTAGATTCTATGGTCTTGCCAAGTTTATGTACCTTCAGGAAGCGTATAAACTAAACCAATCCAGGTATAATATACATATGGTATAGTTAGTAATAATAAAATTCACAATATTTGTTTCAAATATGCTCTATACATGGGACTCATAACATAAATAGTGAAAAGTGGGTGTTACATTGTACAGTGGCATAATGTGCACCTCTGCCTACCTCTTCAGGGATAAAAGGTGTGATGTTATGTTAATATGCTCTATATTTGAAGTATCTATATTCCAGCATGACGATAAACGATAAATCCATGACTTCGAAGTAACAATAACTATGTATTGGTTCAAAAATAAGCATTTCTAGTAATGATTAGTTAGTTTTTAGTTTCACATAGATTGAATACCTATCTTATAAATGTCAGGAAGCATAAAACAACAATGCCTCGTATTTAAGAATTTCAAAATAATAATATTTCCTTTCTTGGGAAAGAAAACCCATTATCTAGGCATAATGATTCACACTCCTAGATCAATGAGAGTCATAATAAGATTATTAAAGCTATAACTTTCAGTGACCTAATAAGAAATTTTAACTATTTTGGGATAACAATATGTACTTAGAGTAAAAACATTACATTTTGTAACTTCATTAATTTGAATTCCATTAAAACCAAATTTTATCTCGATACAACCTATACAAAGATCTATCTATTGCATTAATTTAATTTTATAGTTTTCAACTTACTGGAAAGTTGTTTTTCATTCATTTTGGTTTAATTTGGTTCCTAGGAAAACATGTACATCAAGTGTGAAATCAGAAATATCAAAGCTTATGGCACTATTTCACATTTACTATTAAATAAGAAAGTGACTTACCGTAGAATTTCTATATGGGCTTCCTTGAGGGTTGTAAGGCGGCATAGGCCTGTGCTGAGGCCAGCCGGGTGCCGGGCCATAGCCCGCCGGCGGCTGCTCATAACTGTTAGGGTAGCGGTGTGGCGGCGCCCCGCTCGATTGCAATAACGAATTCAGCGTGGGCGTGGGGCCAGGTGCCTGCGACACCGCTTGTCCCGGGAAAAATCGCGGCTGCTGCGGCGGAGGTCGCGGTTTGCCGGGAAAACCAGGCCGTGGCGCGTAATAAGGATCCGCGCCTTCTGGGTATCTATACTGGCCGTACTGGTCCGTCACTGGCCTGTCTACGCCTCGGTCGTGGCCGGGCGCCTCGCCACTGTCGCGTGGCTGCCCCGGTTCGGCCGACATCGGCGATTTGCTCTTTGTGTTCACGACGCCATCGGGCGGAACGCGCCCGACGGACTTGTCGGTGCCGTTTTGCAATAAAGCGTTCCGAGATTCACTGAGCTGCTCAGATGGATTCTGCTCAACGTTTACTTCGCTACGCTGAGACTCTGCCTGCGTCGCAGCCATGTTCGGCTGGCAACGGCCGTCCCTGCTTACACTCGCGCTGGCGATCGACCGGCTCGCTTACGTTACATCGGAATCGGGCGTCGGATTGCAAAACCGCGACGCGGACACTTCCATCACTAACAAGAAGATTAACTATACACAAATTGTAACGCGAAACGGACGAATTATCGTTCACCGACGCACACACATCGATCACATATCTACTCCATTGGCGTAAACGAGGTTAGGGAAAAGGTTACATATCTAGAAGGCGCTTTTGTCACGCTATAACTGAACATTTCATATCACTATCACGATATTAACACTCCGTATACGTTCACTTATGACAAAACTCATTCCCAAACCCACAACCAAGTAAAATCCTTAAAAACAGAACAATAGAATCACGAAACTTCCAAAATTATTAGCGTCCGCCATTACGGACTTGAAATTCTGCGCTTGACGACGCTTCTGCCTATGTTCACTCCGGTTACAAAAAAATATTTTTAATGAAACTTTTACCACAGATAGCTTAAACTAACCCTAATTAATTTTCTAGATATTTTTTTAGTTATAATTAAACTAAATAATTAGCTAATAGTACACTAATTGGAGAAAAATAACCCAAAATTATCTGTGCATGTTTACATTTTTGTACTATTGCGACCACGTAGTTACTACGGCGGTACCAACATAAAACATGCTACAATGTGACAAGTTCCGCTGGCGCCAATCTTTTGTTGCTATATTCATTTCAATCAACCAAGATCTTTTTAAACATCCAAATAATTTCTATAAAGGTGAAAACAATTAAAATATATTCAACATTACTCATTTATTTAAATTTGTTTATGTAGATTTACGCGAGTATTTAACTCTTTTCTAAAATATAAAAGTTCGAATTTAAAATTTGATTTCCTGTCTTATACCAACATAAGAATAAAAATGACGCATAGAGAGTGATTGGAATTTATAGTAGATTATCATTGAAGATAATTACGGTTACAATTATTAGGTATTGTAAATGTAATCGCATAAACAAACTATCTTTCACAAATTGACTAACTTTATAACAATAATAAGTAATTATGTACTGATAGTAATAGTCTGAAATTCAACCTAAATGTGTTTTTGCGATTTGTAGAGTCTTGTCTATGAAAACTAGTCTGACGCACGGACGCACGAAGCAAAGCATTGACAATTGACATCATTGACCAAAAGTTATACTGATATTTTAGTCGAGTTTCACTTACGTATTTAGTTTTTTTTTCTTTATTTTGAAACATTTATGTACGTAAGTCTAATTATTTACACTGCTACACGGTGATACTTACGGCCACTTACGGGCCAGTTGATGCCCCACCACTTTACGAATAATATTAAAGCTCGATTTTGAGCCATATTGTTTTATAACTGACTTCCTAAAAGGTGGAGATTCTAGATTGAGCCGATATTCATTCATAACGCCGACTAGGATTTCGCTAGTAATAATGTAATAATAGGTACTAGGACCTTTCATTACAAAATCAATCGCACTGTACTTCCATCGTACACATTTTAAAATTGTTGCAGTAGAGTTGCTTTGATTATGATACTTTTTGCAATGAGTAGTGTCGTCATAAGATATTAAAAAAAATACGGTCTCTCTATTGAGTAAGACGGGATAACTTCTTTTTTGGGAGATCACCGAATGTGATCGGAGATCTCGAGATCGGAGGCGAGAGTCAGACTCTTACTGACTAAAAACTGCCCCAACCGAGCCAACTCCTCCATAGAGTCGGACCCATTTCACAATTCTTTTTGACTGAGAATAAACTCAGTATAGAGTTTTTATGTTTATTTATAATAGTCTACTATGACATCTTGATCTTAAGAAATGTAAAATTGTTTAGTTTAAAATATAAACGTTTCCCCACATTCTCTCCTGCGTCGTGGGTGCATTTACACCATGCGGAAATCGAACCCACGACACGTTGCATGGCAGACAGTTGTCCAGCCACCGCATCAATGGTGCAGTAGAGAAGGACATAATAACAAACACAGAGCTCATTTTAAAATTTGATTTATTTTCATGTCTTCGTTATACAAGTTTTGTTACTTTGTTTGTAAAAATATGTTATCTTCACCAATGTTATAATACCGAATATAATGTTCCATTTCAATTGTTTAGTACCTGTATGAACACAAGATTCTATTGCTACTTTACATTTATTAACAGTACGTCTCGTAATAAAATATGAAGGTTCACTCAAAGAGGTGGTAATGTGGCTTCTTCAGGAAATATTTATATCTAAACACCTCGCAACATAATCACACGGGAACATGCTAATTTTAATTGAGCGAAATTCTATAATATAAATGCCAAATATATATATCTCATCATTTCATAAAATAACGTAATATAGCATTTTAATTAAAAATATATAAAAGTACACATAAATTAGTTATGGCATAAATCTATTATCTAAGTATAAAACAAATCTCAAATTTAACCTAATTTAAGTACAAAGATCACGGGTCTTAATTTTTGGGATAACATAATGAATAATATTAATGTGATGCCAGATCTTGCTTGGTAAGCTCGATTGTATGCAGTTAGTAATTAATAAATTTAATATGTACATGGAACGAAGTATTTTATTGTGCTTTATACAATGTTCAAGTTAATTATGATCACGATTTGTATAAATATATCGTCTTGAAAGTTATCAATAAAATGCCAGCAATTAGTAGAGTTAGAAGCGTATTTACAATATTATTTGAAAACCGGAATGTTTCACTCTACTGTCAATAGATGATTTCTCACTTATATATAATATTATCAATTTCGATATGCCACTATCAATTTTATACTTTCCGTATTAATACTGCAACAGTCTGAATGTTACTTCGTTAACTTAAATATTTTATAACATTGAGTTTAAGGCAATTTTTCGTGTTTGTAAAGTTTCTATAAGGAACGTGTTTCGTGTGGAGCGACGTTCGAGATAGAAGCTCGTTACGTGTGAACACGTCGTGCTGCGATGTGTCTCAGGACGGTGACGTCGCACAATCAGGAGGAGCCGAACTCTGCCATCCAGGAGAGGTACTTCTGAATGTCTCCCTTGGACACGGACTTGTTGCACTTGGCTAGCGCTTCCATGAAGTCCTGCTTGGTGACCGGCAAGTCAAGTTCTTCCTTGGCAAGTTGTTTGATCTGCTCGGGTTTTAGGCCAGCTATTTTACGTCGCATCGACATCATTGATGCGTCTCTGGAAAATTATTATAACATTTGAATATTTCATGATCACAAAATACTTAATATTTCTTTCAACACTTATTTAAACCTTACAGGATACAAAAACCCCCTTACAGTAATGTACAAGAAATAACAATTACACACAACATTGAAACAAGCATACCTGCAGACATTAGTGATATCAGCCCCAGAGTAGCCATCGAGTTTCTTGGCGATAGCTCGGAGGTCGACCTCAGGGTCTAGTTTGACCTCCCGGAGGTTGATGCCGAGGAGTGCCTCGCGGCCCTCCTGCGTCGGTAGTGGGATGTAGATACGTTTCTCCAGCCGCCGCCGCAAAGCCTCGTCTATGTCCCACGGAAAGTTTGTCGCTGCTAATACCATTACTACCTGGTGAGGTTTAAGATATTATGAGTATCCAAGTAACTTTATTATGTTGATAACAATAAAATAACTGCTTAGCTAACCTAGCTTATCGAACCAATAATGTGTATCAATTGCGTTGAGTATCATCCGAGTAAGGCAACAGACAGTGCCTGTGTTTCCATTATAATCCTGCGTTATGGCGTTCTAATTGACCGGGTGCAATGAACCAACCGATCAGTGCCGAACGCGGTCTCGTTTTAATCTCGTTAAACGTAAAACGTATTTTTGCTTGCTACGTTACTATATCTTACTTTAGCAGGTTCATCCGTAGCAGACCCGAGTCCGTCCATCTGCACGAGCAGCTCGGACTTGACGCGGCGCGATGCCTCGTGCTCACTGTCCGAGCCGCGCCGTGAGCACAACGAGTCTATCTCGTCTATGAAGATTGTGCTCGGCGCGTAGAACCGGGCCTGCAAGACAATTACACATTTATATTGAAATATAGGTACCTACTTTAGTTTCTGCCTATCACCAAGGGACAAAGAATAGATAAATATTTGATGTGCTTGTATGACTAAAATATGAAAAAGTAAGCTAAATAAGTATTCAAAGATCATAACTAAGTGATGCTCTTTCTGTAAATATGTTATTACAGACGTAGTAATATAAAAACATTGATGAACAAACTTGGACCGGAAGACTTAAATATGTTCCATCATCATCAGTCTGCTTCCATCCATTGCAGAATTATTACCTCATAGAGCACACCACGACTGTTCACTTCTCTTTACTGCTATAAAACGACACTTACCATTTCAAATAACAATCTGACTAGTTTCTCGGACTCCCCGCGGTACTTGGAGGTGAGCGTAGACGAGGATACGTTGAAGAAGGTGGTGCCGCACTCCGTGGCCACTGCCTTCGCCAGCATCGTCTTACCCGTGCCCGGGGGACCCACCATCAGGACGCCCTTCCACGGCCGTCTGATGCCCTGCAAATATACACATTGTTGTTATAGAAGTGTTACTGTTGTTGCTTGCTATAGTCAAAATTAAAATAAACCTAATTTAAAATTATGAATGCATGTTAGTCGATTAATAGAGGTATTTCTTGTTTGAAATAGTATATATAGCAATGAAGAACAAGCAAGTAAGAAAGTAATTTGTAACTTATACATGATTTCGTTACCTTAAAGAAGTCGGGCATCCACATGGGCAAGACTACGGCTTCCTCCAGCAGTCGCTTGGCTTCTGCCAGGTCAGCGATATCGTCCCATCGGATGTTGGGATTCTTTTGTACTATATCTCGCTCTGTAACGTATAACAACATATTATATTACTTAATTGATAAATAAAATACTCACTTGGGGTATAAAGTTCGAATAATGTCGCAAAATTGACAAACAAATATATATACATTCTAAGAAATTAGTCCAATCCGAAAACAAAAACTTACAGTAAAGAAACATTAAGCTGTATAGGAATATACAGCTGAAAACTATTACAATTAAGAAAAACATAAATTAAAAATTTCCCCATACTTATACCCTATAAAAATATCCTCTAGGTCAGCCGTTACAAAAATAGAATTTTCGCGATTATTATGGAAACAGTAAAGGCCTTCTTGAACCAAAAGGATTTTTGAAAGGAGACTTAAACACTCATCCACATCTTCACTCACCAAGCATATCAACCAGGTCTCCATCAGCGGCTGACGGTGGCTCGAACCTCCTCTCCTCGTCTTTATGTTTCTCATCATCAGTATCACCGTTGTTATTGTCCCTGTCTTGCTTGTCCTTATTGCTGTGTTCTTTATTGCTTGTATCCTTTGTTTTTGCTGGAAAACATGAAGGATAGAATTTGAGAAATTGATAGAATATAATATCATCATAAACTCGGGAGAGTACACGCCTGGGCTATGTATGGACCGTCTATATACAAGAGGGATTGCTATATTATACATGTTTGGAATATACATACATTATTTCATAGGAATTGATATAGAGAAATATCTCTAATTACCAACTTTTTAAACTCAATGTCTTTCCTCTGAAAATTTCTTGATTATTACTAAACATAACATAAATTTACGACTTTTTATCCCCGAAGGAGTAGGCAGAGATGGACATTACAGCACTTAATACCACTGTACAATGTAATGTAACACCCACTTTTCACTGTTTATGTCATGAGTCCCATGTAATAGGGGGTGAGCCTATTGCCATATACCTCACCTAACTCAGTTATATTTTACTATCACTAAAATGGATACTTATTTTAATACTTGACTCCTTATTCAAATTGCTATTAAAAAGTCAGGCTCTTAATTCTCTCATTCCTAAATACAATTCATTCAAACAAGAGCTTAACTCGTCGAGTACCGTCATTATAGACACAATTATAGAACAATAGGTTGCGGTCACCGGTGACCGCTTGGTGTTTGACAGTTTGATATTAACTAAAATCGCGATTTGAATTCGAACCACAAAGGGGTGCTCCTCATGAGCAGCGTGCGCGGTCGCGGCGACGTCGTGGTTCGAAACTAGTAGAGCTTTTCTCAGTATATTCACGTGAGTAACCCGCGATTTTAGTTAATTTAGTATGTATCACGATAGTTATTATAAAAAGCTTAATATTATAAAACTTGCCTGCTAATCATGATAAAATAACATTTCTTAATTACAGAATGGCGTAACAATAACACAGCGATTTATGAGACGGCTATTAATAAAATTGTAAAGAGCTATACACAATAAGTGTAATAATATTGCTAAATCTCAGTGCAGTGTACGTGAGAGAACATTTTATATTATCTCTTAAAGTTATTATAAACCTACCATACAAAAAAAAATGATTAGAAGGTGTATTACACACAAAACTATTTTACTTGCCAATAATAAGCTCACATCCTTTAACATGGGACAAGGACAATGGTCTACCCCCATTCGGGAGTTAAAAGCATGATGCAATGTTATTCTAGATCAAATTTAATTTATTTGTAATTCACCTAATTTCTAATATTAAACACTAACTTCATTTGATTTTGAATAGAATTCTTTACATTTATACGAGCTTAAACAAAACCCCTTCCTGACCCTAGTAAAAAAAAATTAGGCAGTTCTGAAAATATTACATATATATACGGGTCGAATTGATAACCTAGTATGAGCCTCGTGCCGATTCGGAGTCGACTCAAAGCGCAGGGAAAGGAACGGGGTGGTTTTTAGTCAGTAAGAGCTGACACTCCCTCCCGCCTCACCCAGGCGGGAGCAGTCATTCGATGATTATCCCCCCTTAAACAAAAAGTATTATACTTTCCTAAGGAACCCCTAGACATTCGGTGTAATAAACTCTGTTGCCTACCATCATCAGCTCATACTAGCTCTCATCTCAATACTCAAATTAGAAGATGCGTATCAACCTTCTGATCTTAACCTGCACTGCGTACAAAGGTTTCTGTACCTGTCCTATCGCCTTGTGTACATTTTTTATGGAACTGTGCCGCGGTGAGCAACTGAGCACGTTTTACGGCAACACTGAGCAAAGATCCATTAAATGTTCATGTAACTTATATTGACACAGGTAAAATACACTCTAAGGGAAATTTGGTTTTCTACAAGACTATGTTACTTTAAAGATTAGGTAGTTGCTTTAGAAGCGATATACAGTTATTATTGTATAGTTGTCGTTTATCTTCGATAAAATATATTTTTTCACGCCTTATTTAAATGGCATTGTAGCATTACTGCATGGTGAAAAGTGGGTTAATATTGAATGTCGTTGGCAACAAATTACACCCTGTCCTGTCTGAGAATTCTTAAGGAAATTCTTAATTTTAAGTGTGGGAGAGCCATGCTTCGGCACGAATGCCAATGGGCCGGCTCGACCGGAGTGATACCACGGCCTCATAGAAAACCGACGTGAAGCAACGCTTGCGTTGTGTTTCCTAATTAGAATAATTAGTAAACATTGATTCTTGATCGTGTATATCTATTTCTGTCGGCATTGACTACTTACTTCCTATATGAAATACTGGTTCCTACCAAACGGCTTCGCGCGCTATCCCGCGGGTTAAAAACAGGCTATATGTAATTCTAGACCATAATCTACCCCTGTTCTAGATTTTATACCGACTCCTTCAGCCGTTTAACCTTTTGAGCGCCAGGGTCACAAATACGTGACAAGCGAAAACTGTCCCTGAGCGCCAACGACACAAATATGTGACAAAAACAGCGGTACATTAAAACACGAAATAAACTATTTAAACATTACTTTAATGCCTATTTATTTAAATACCTGTAAAATAGAAGGTCCAAAATTTATTTATTTCCATAAAACTAATTAAATTGCATTATAAATATTGAGAAATTTTACGTTAAAAAGAAAGAAATAAACTCTGAAAAAAGAATGTCCTCACACGCCAGAGTCATAACTGCGTGACCGCTAGTGATGTAGCGCATGTTGGATAATATCATTATTTCAAATCAAAGATCGATTCGAAACTTTCCTCTGGAATATATTATTTTAGGTATAATTTGGTACTAGAATAAAGCAGCATTAATTTTATAAAACCAGTCTTAAAAATCATTCAATAAGCTACATAGTCAAAAATAAAATTTGGTTGGGTCGAATTTCGATATTCACTAATCCCAACTCAAGCGCATCCCTAACGCAACCCGAATTATCAGTACCCTGTACGCCATGGTCACGACTAGACGACAATATCGTGACGTCACAAGCGCGGCGACCAGAAATTAGTGAAGTGAATGAATAATATTTATGATTAATTTACTTGTGATATCGAGTTCAAGATTTATATTAAGTGACTATTATAATGAGTGGGAATTTAATGACTACGGAAGAACTTCTTCGCATATTAGAAGGAGTCTCAGATGACGAAGAATTTTGAGAATTGACGGAGCGAGAGTATTTGACTCGAAACTTTTATTCTAAGTGTGGGCTCCATATTTACCTATAACTTCGTGGAATAAAGTCTGCCAAAAGTTCCTTTTTTAGCCACGGTGCGCGCTGAGATCGATTTCACTGTCCCCACCACCCACTTTGCACCCAGCGAATTAGATGATCAGAATGCAGGTTGCATTGTAGATTTTGTATAATTTTGTTCTATTATTCAAAAGATTTATTAGTATAAGACTGATTGGTAATTGTGATAATTATATATAATCGTTAATTGTTTTAATTTGTTACTTTTTATGCCAGGTTTATAGAACTTAATATTTAAAAACATGTATACATAGTACATACTGTATAACATTTTATTAAAATTTTCTATTTTTTCATAGTTTTTATTTACCTTCTTAACCTATTTCAATCATATATTTTTAAGTACCTGTTACATTCGGAATTATAAATCTGATTTAAAAAACGTGTTTCATTTATTATAAAATAATATTGTACTAGAACATCGATAAACGAGATATTACGTTGCCACATCCTTATTTCGGAAGCGAAGTAGTTATTAAAATGGCGGGCCGTCCACGCCATGGTCACAATATGAAGACAGCAGTGTTGTACCTACAGTTATTATATTTAAATATATTGTAGTCTCATATCTGTTATTACGGTATTATACAAGTCTGTAAATAGTGTATAACTATTACTTTAATAGGAAGAAATGTAATGTTGAATTAAATTTCAATGTTATAAGGACATTATATTTCGAAATTAAAGACGAAAATGAAAATAAAATTGATTATCGATGAAGTTTTGGAATCCCTATTTTTTTCGTAGGTATTTGCGGTGAATTTGTGGCCTGGCGTTGAGGGCAAGTTCATGCGTTTTTGCTCTGGCGTTCAAAAGGTTAACGCGATTGAGTAACAAGTAAACATACAATAGGGTAGATGCCTAATTTTTATTTAAATGTCCGTCTGGTAGATTATTTCAAACCATTAGACACGTAGTTTATATTTTCTTACAGAAACGAATCCTTTTGATTTGAAATGTCGCGTAACGTCACTTCTATGTACATTTTATACGTAGAAATTACGTTTTAGCCCCCACTCCTAAACTTTGATTTGTTTTATGTAAGTACTTATTATTTTATCATACGACAAAAACTAACTTACAGACTAATTAGATTTTTAATTTTCATACCCCGTCATCATCCCAATTCACAAACTTTTGCATTTGTAATATTACTAGGTAAATAAGACCGGCTTCAATCGGCGAAATGTAATTTTTGTAGACTATCTTCCTCGGCAATTTTCATATAAATCTGATCAGCCATTTTGACGTGATTGTATAACAAATATCCTTACAACCTTCACATATAGGTACAATATTTGTGTAGATAAATAGACAGCCACAGCCACACATCTTATACTATTATCTATCTACTATTATCTATCTTATATTATTATATATCTTATATAAAGCGGAAGAGTTTGTTTTTTTGTTTGAACGCGTTAATCTCCGTAACTATAAGTTTGATTTCAATAATTCTTTTTGTTTTGATTAGCGCATTTATCGAGGATGGCTATAGGCTATAAAACACCACGCTACGACCAATAGGAGCTGAGCAGAGCGTGTGAAACCGCGCGGAAGTAGCTAGTTACTTATACACGTTTTTTTCTGTATTTAAATAAACAGAATCTAAATAAGTAAATGTCTTTTAAAGTCACTAAATCGTGTGATAGTAACGAGTGTCTTGTCACTAGGAAATCCTATAAAGGAGACTTCGACGTATGTAGAAGGAACGATTCTAGTTTTCTACGTGCTCATTACAATATTATGTATGTTTTGTACAGATAGGATGTATAGTTTCCTTGCAGTAGAAGTATTATAAAGTAAGCAATAGACCTCAGCTGTTGTAAAAAGGTATATTTTCTAAGAAACGACTGCTACATTTTCTTTGTATTATGCATTTTAAACTAATGAGTTTCCCTCAATAAAAGAGGTCACCTTCTTTAAACCATATGCCGCCTTAAACCGTAACTTAACGTGTAAACTGCCAAGAATAGGGTAGTTTCCTAAATTTTATTTTTATGTCCGTCTGGTACATTTATTTAAAACTTTAGACACGTATTTTTTTTCTCACAAAATTAAATACTTTCGACAATATATTAATTTGAAATATCGTGTGACGTCACAGCGTGCCACATTTTATAGCACGTTATGACGTAACAACCTCCCACTCCTAAACTTAGCGCCATTTTATCTAAGTATTGCAACTTAATACGACAGATGAAAAAAATACGTATCTAATATTTTTTCATTATTTAACTGACGGACTAAATTTTTAATTTTGATACCCTGGAAACTACCCATTCAGATAGAATTCTTTACGAAATGTAGTTTTATTTTATTTACATCGGAAAACATACAGTATTAACAGCTAACAAAAACACAGTTTACGCAACTATTGGCCAATTACATGTTTTCGCATTTAGTTATCTATGAAGAACACGCTTGAAAGAGAAAAAATGAATAAAGAGGTAATTAGGAATTATGGTAAATACAATAATATTAATTCTTGCAGTGCTAAATGGAACAGCTATCGAACCAATGTTTTGTAAGTAATCGATTGAATTAAGTATGTATGTTTTGTAAGTAATCGATTGGCTTAGTAACGAATAAGTCCAGTTCTGAAAAGTCGACCAGATTACTGTAGGACTTTGCGCATCTTATAAAGAATGTAACAATAGTATAATGCAATAAGTTGTAGTAAAATATATTTAGCACTTGTGTAGAGCAGAACAACCGCTAACCACAAGCAATATTATGTAACAAGTAACAACATTGGCTTCCTGTGGTTATTTATGTAAAACAATCATCTAATTCTAACCAGATTATGTTCTGTAGTAGAATGTAAAGTGCATATTCATTTTCTATGTATTATGGAATCTAGAATTGTGGACACAGGAGTAATAATTTCAGTGAAAAGTCGTATTCTTCACTAAAAACTTAACTTGTTCATTAAGTAAATGGCAAATGAGGATAAAACTGGCTTTGACTACAAAATAGAACTCAGATGTTTCAAAGTCATTAAAATAAAGCTAATCGAATTCCATACTTACGAACTGACTACTCTGAGAAGAGACACCGAAACTAACTCAAAGGAATGAGGACCTTAAGTTTATATATTGTGGTGTTTTTTTACAAACTATTATTCATGCATTCTTATACCTTCATCTGTCGACATTAAATTCAGTATAACAGGAAAGTAAATACACAAAATTATCCTTAGGTAGGACTCCCCTAAGTCCATTGAAATTCATCATTTCACGTAACTGCCTTTTCAATAAATATTTTTTCTCCAAAATACATTTCCCAAAATTCGTAAACAAAAGATATCCGAATTAGTCCAGTAATTTCTAACGTATGCACTTAACAACACATTTTACAACAAGAATGGACAGAAAAGTATACATATATAAATAATAGTATATAGTTCAAAGTATACATACCGCTATGTGCTTTATTTGTTGCGTTTTTAGGATTCCTAACATCGGAGGTTTTTCGTTGTGAAGAGGTTGCATTGCGATTGGCAGGTGTAGTCTTTTTATTGTCGTTGCGAGCCGTCCTGGGGTTAGCTCGTGCTGATTTCATTGCGGGAGGCCCTCTGTAATGGTAGACAGGCATTTAGTTTAATTTTCCTGTAAGGACAATGTTTTATTGGTAGTTGGAGTTTGGAGTGAATATAGGCACGGGTCGTTATACTCTGTGTTATTGACATATATTAATTCTTGTTGTTTTGTCTCTTACGTCTTTTTTGATTGGTATAATTTCCTCGTGTTTAAGTTTCGGTAAAACCACCTGAATTAATGTAATAACTATACCTATTAGCAAAAACTAACTCAATATGTACCTCTATAGAACTAGAGACTATCCTTTGTTCTTGCAGCAGAAAATATATAACATACAAGTCTCATTTGCATAAGGACGAACGCTATACAAACACACACACACACATACACACCTACATTCAAAAATTACAACTATTATCATGTTACTGTAACTGTACCATATTTTAAGGAAGTATAAACATTTAATATCTTGTCATAAACTACGTAATTTGTAGATAAGGTACTTAAGGTAGTGTTTGCACCTGTCGTCATTACACCCTACCGCTTTATTACTTTGTTTTGTAATTAACAAAATAGTAAAAACGAGAACGAATGGTATAACGTAGACGTCTTATCTTATTTTATTAATCTACATATGACTGAGTTAAAAATATAGTTAATGGGTTCTATTTAGGTCTCACAAATATAATATTAAAAATTACATTAAAAAAATGAATGTGGTTCTATTGAAAAGTTGTCCAAAATAAACATGAAATCAAGAGACAAACAACAACAAAATTCACGAGATTTCTGTATGCAATAAAGCAAAATTTTTAACGTTGATGAAAAATGTTAATACTGTTAAACTACTTGGAAACAAAAATAAAAATACGGAGACGAACAATAAAATAAAAAAAAACACAGGACATATTATCAGACAAGATATTCAGTTCTTAGAACTGCTGGTGACTGAACAAGACAGCCAGAAGCCCCGACATCGTTTAAAAATAAGCATTATAACGTCTATCATTATGCAAAATCGAGACAATACATTAAACGAAACCAATAAAAGCCTTTTAATTAAAAACACCTGCATAGAATCCTACATTAACCATCGAACAGGTGTTCCATACAAATATTTGCATCAAACACTATTGACCTTCGGATCTTCGGCATATTGGCGCCAACACTACCATTTCCGAACGATTACGAAGTGACCCGAAGATGTAACATGACCATTTTGAGTAAAACTGCTTTCAAAATTAGTGTTAACTAACGATTTTTCGATGTAATTTATGTGCGATGAGTTATGTAAACAGGGTATTGTGGTTTCTCATAGATATTTATTTGACCGCGATTTGGTTTATATAAGGCTTCGTTGAAGTTCTTAAGGAGATTCCTAGCTGAAGACTGTTTAAAGAAAAAAATTGAGATGGAACTTTTGATAACAATTTGAATACTGATTAAGGTCAAAAGCTGAGCTTTATTATAATAGAGGCGTTTTCTGTCACATAGAACAATTGCATAACAAGAGAAAAGTATGTGTGGGCACACACTAGGCACTGCGTCGGCAGCAAACTGGCGCGATGTGAAATTACATAAAAATATTTAGACTAAAGCTTATGGAATTTAGAACCACACCTAAGGAATAGAGATTAACTTTACTATTGCGTTCATAATAAATACTGAAACCTTATAACAAAGACACATCCCATTCCCATAGGGAATCTCTTACCATCCATAACTCATCCACTAAAGGATATCTGCTAAAATCTAAATGTAAAACTGTGACTTGTCACTCATTAACTTCATTATAGCAGCTCGCTAAACCACGTGGCAGTTAAAAAACCGAGCACATACACGTGTTAACAAATATAACTGTTCCTTTTAGCTGCAACGTGCCAAATGGTTCATTAAGAGGTGTACCCTCTTAATTAACCAGTCAGTCGGCAGAAACATTAACTATCGTGTCACAGTAACACCTGTTTTTCTTGAACCAGATGCATAGATATTTAACATCACCATCAACAGCCACTGCTGACCAAAGACCTTTACACAGAGAAGATTGGCGCATTAATCACAACGGCAATCAGTGCGGGTTGGAGATTTTAAACTTATAATTAGAAATTATAAGCTTAAGTTTCCTTACGATGTTTGTCAGTGATGTCTAAATATAATCTTAGAAAGTACATACTTTCTAAGATTATAATTATTATATATTATATCTAACCCATAAAAAGTGATATACCGTTGATCCTATAAGCAGCAGAAGGTTGATAAAAACTTAAGATAAGAGGGTCTCGGGTTCAGCTAATTCAGTATTTGTTGCCATTAAACAAATCTACATGCATAGTTGACCATTTTGCAACTTTGCAACCACAAAGTCAACTCGAAAACCGTCCTAAAAACAAAATGTTCACTCATTAGTAAATTGGTGAACCTGTTTCAAGTTTATATACTAATTAAGCTATACTTTTTGCGCTACATACTTGTGTTCTACGCTGGTGGGTGGGGGCCACGCGTTGGGGTCTCTGTCAGGCGGTGGGGGCCATATATCGGGGTCGAGCTCGTGTGGCGCTGGGGCCCACATCTGGTCACGTGTTGGTAGGTCTTCGTAGTCTGCAAAGAAGAGAAAACGCTTTTAATTAGAAGACTGAATACATTGTATATTCAGCAGCGGTTTTACCAGAGCAAAAACGACTGTCTGTATCTCTGTGCTTAATATTTCGATCCGTTCAGTAGATTTTGCAATAGATAACAAATATTCATCAATCACATTTACAAAGTTTCGCTTTTATAGAATAACGTAGGATAGACTTAAAAATAAACATATATAAACTTATTATTGGTAGGAGAGATATTTATTATAATGAGTATATCGTCGATTTCCATTTTTATTCCACTGAATTGAATCATCAATATCTAAACCCAATGAACTGCATGTCGTTAATTGACATCCCGTTTCTTGGAAGGCCGAATTGAATAAGTCGTAACAATTGCATCAAGGCGACACAGCTGCAACAACTCCCGTGCAAGCCAATAAATCCTATAAAAGGGTTTACCGAACACGTGTTTAAGAATACTTAAAAGCACTTTGGCACTAAATGATATTGAAATAGGGTAAGAGCACTTACAAAATTCAAATTATCTGATAAATATGTACCTCGTTAAAGAATTGAATAACGTTTTGAACGCAATAAATCCAATGTAACTCATAAAACACGTTTCATTGCAGTCTCAAAACTACACCAAGACTACAAGACAGACCCGACTAAAAGTCGTCGAACAACTTTCAGTCATTACCTCGGGCAAAAGTCGTCTGTTCATAATGGCTTTAAATTAATTAAATGGCGAATAAATTACCACGATGGTATACGATGAAGAAACAGGAAATTGGCAGAATTGCGGGAAGTGACCGGTTTGCAGAAAAAAAGGTCTCGTGTGAAATGCGAGGACATTAATTTCCTGTAGAAGGTAATGTTTTATCTGTCAATGTTGATGCAGATTTCAATCCTTGCCTAGAAACTAAATTGACCTTCTAACGTTACTTAACGCTATGTTAGTTAATTACTCTTGGATTCTTGTCAAGCTTTTGTAAGAGTTGTTTTGTTCGAGACATATTTGTAAAAGTACTTGACACATTATTTATTTACGGATTTTGGACATTCGGTTTTTATCTTAAATGGAGCTCCTTATAGACTAGGCTGACAGCTTGTATTATTACTGGATGTTATAAAAGCACCTTAAATATTAGTGAAGTTTACAAAAACACATATCCACATAAAAAAAAACTAGACAAAATCAATTTTTCCGCAATTACCGTCGGACGTGGCCAGAGAAAAAAGTTAGGGCCATTCCACGCGTGTAACTAATTCATTATCTAACAAAAATCGATAGTCATCTAACAGGTTTTAGTCACCGTATCTAATGGCACGCGTAATTGCGTTTATTGAGATTTAATGATTCACAGGGAAAGCCGTTACTTAATTTTATCTTTCCGACACGCTCGATTACCCGCCAATTTACGCGTAAAAATGTCACCAAGTAAAATCCGGATGGTACTGTAATTGTACCCAGTTTAATTTGATTGGATTACGGCTCAAGCCTTCTAATAGCGCCAACGTGAAAGTTTGTGAAGGTGAAGACGGATAAGAGATGATATAAAACTAATAGTAGGTAGAGAACTGCTAAATGACTTGGGTGTATAAATAAATCAAATCCTAAGGCACCGGTAAATTTAATATGGATCGTGTCATTTCTAAGGAGAATTATTTACTATTTTTATAAATACACACATCGCACAATAGTCTTGACAGCCTAATAACGTTATCAAGGTGGGTTGAAATTAAGGTGCGTTTCCAGTTACTAATATAGGTATGATCCCGCATTTTGATGTCAAGTTAATGAAGGATATCGAAAATGCAAACTATGTATACGGGCTTTATTTAATTGATAAGATTACATTTTAGCAATAGAGGTCTTCTGTGGTCTTGTTCTAAAATGCAAACGATGAGTCAGTTACAGGTTACAGGTCGACATTTTAACCTTTCCGTATCCAACTTCGAAGTCGTGCCGACTGATAAAACTTAGTTCAATTTGTCAGTATAACGACCATATTTGTAAAGACAACTTTTGGTTTCATTTTAAGGACTTAAGGAAAGTGTTGGACTGAATATGACGAGGGTTATTAAATATTGATTCTGGCGTAGTGCCCAGTAACGTAACATTACCATTTTTGTAGACATGAGGAGCCAAATTGGGTCCTTATGCCGTCATCAGTAACCTTGAATTGTGACCAATAACATCGATTTTTATGTCCCAAACGTAGTAATTATGGTAATTATGTAACGTTTGTAGTATCCAGTTTAGGTTACCGTGTTTGTAGTCGCGTCTACACCCATCATACTAATAGAATTATTCATCAGGAGAAAATATCTGAAATCTAGGAATCTAGAAATTATATGAATAATCAAAATATCAGAAAGTTTGATATCAATGAGAAATCTACGTTAATTTATCACTTTCTCGATATCAGCCTGATTTTATGACTTCCAAAACTTGATGACACCTAATCAGAGACAAAATCATGACGATTCAAAGTTACACCGACCTGTTTTATGCGCGACTTGACGAGCCATTTTGGAAATAGTAGCGATAAATTCTAAATTCGTACACATAATGGGTCTAGACTGGATTCGTCATAACACAAGTTGCCTTTTTCTGAAATGGTTGTAAGATCTTGTAGCCGATAATAAAAGAATTGTGAACACAAAGGAGACAGGATGAAAGTCAGACTGATTCAATTTTAAGTGCATCTTTGAACTTGGTAAAATTACATTGTGACCTTCTTAGAGTGCAAGGACAAAAATGGACACCAACAAGCTTATAGATAATACTAAATTTAGAATAATAACTTTAAATCTACTTACTACACTAATGTACGGAAATGATAGCGTACATAATCGTAATCTAGGCCCAAACAGCGTAAACGTTATCAGATGGCAGGTTGCACTTAAATTCCGATCCATCATAGAATTGAATCTAGGTAATTGATTATTTATCCATTTCACCGGTCATGGATAAGATTATGATTATCTTTTATTTCGTAACAGTTTAATTCTGAGTGTTTGAAGTAGAAGTAGCTGGGGGCTGACAAAAGTCAATATTTTACGCATACATACGTTTATGAGATCAATGAAAAGGGTTATGGTAATGCCCAGAAAAATCTGTTAGTCATTGTAAAGATAAGTACCGTACTAAAAAGAGAATATGAAAAGCAATTGACAAAGAGCAATAACAAAGACTGAACCACGGAAATGAAAGATAACAGGCCCATTTCATACGAATAAAATGCGGAACAAGTGAACGACCCCAAAATAACCCATAAAACTTTGTTGTATCCAACAGTTTACAAACACAAAGCATAAATCTGCGGCAAAACAAAATAGACAATTGCGACTATTGCGAGCAAGCAAGGACGGTGCCGTCCCCTATTGTACCACCATGAATGGTGACATAATTGACGACATGGTGACTTTTATCGGTCGTTCAATGGTACCACTGAAGGTCACAGTCCATTACCGTCGTCTTTGGCCTTATGACGTAGGTTAACGAACTTTAATTGATAATTGCCTGTCCGTCCGATTGCTTCACGTTTCACTTTTAATAGAAATCTGGTGATTGGTAGCGTTTTGGTGATCGATATTTTTATCTAGTTTATTGAATGGCCGTGCTAAACAATGGCTGAGATTTCGTGTTGTGATTGGTTCGTTCCATTATTTTCTTTCGTGTTTAGAGTTCGTTTTGGTAAAAGACATAGTTTGGTATTGTTTTTATAAGTTTTCGAAGCTGAAGTTAATCAAATGGCTGTACAAATACGTTCGGCCGAAACTTTGTCAGTCAAGAAAAGCCCTCGCGTGAAATGAATCGAGTAAATCTGCATCATATAAGTACAAGAACTTGGTGAAATGTTTTCTGGTTTGTGCCGGAAAACCTTGACAAATTAATATAGAATCGTGATAGTAGACTTCTTTATAAATTAGACATCGATTGCAAGACAAAAAATCTGATGAATATCAAACCTGGTATTGGCATCACCATAACCACAGAAGCCCATGTTGTACTCGCAAATTACCCTATAGAAATCGAGGCAAAGGTAGGTATCCCACGGATATTTCAATTCAAGTATTTTTTCATTGAAGTTCAACAAGAACTGCCATAGTGACATTCATAACCATAAATGAGAAAACGAGTACCATTCTTCATTCTAGATAATGGACAGAACCTGTCAATCTTGAACTTCAATAACGGATTTTCTATAATAAATCAAGGGTGGGAAAAAATATATCGTCCATATTCGATACTTTATATAATTAACGTGTAGTATTAAGGTTGAAATTTGTATCAAGTGTTTAAGTTACAGCACGACTAATTTAAATATTCATTTGACAGTCACTATCCTTACATTAAAGTGTCGTATTACAATGTCTTAAGGTTTATTTTCGGTTGGCCGCCATCTGTCGACCAGAATAGACAAGTTTGGTTTATAATTCGGGGTGGAAGTTCAACAAACTGGTATACTTGGAGAATATTGTAATTTTTCGACAGTGATTATCAAAGTCTACATGAAAGTTTTCCACGAAACATATTATTTATCATTTACCCAATTTCAGGTGACCGTAAGCAATTCTTGGTATAACAATGACGATGTAGTGATGTCATCGTATCGCCATGGGAACTCCGTGGTTTTTGGACAATTTTTTAAAATAATTGGAACTGTGTCTCTAATGGTTTAAAATGAAATAATGGCCAAATTGAGTAGTGTCCAAAGTGTTATTGGGTAGCCAGGTAGGTTGGTATGATTTAGAAAGTATGAGTAGATTCTGGATTTATGGAGAACCGGAAGACAAAATGTTCTCTTCTAACATACGAAAGTCGTATTTACTCAATTTTATACTGTTGTACGGCCATTGAATGAAGTATGACCTCAATCTACTCTTGTCGTGCAAAGTGCAATGAAAACTCCTCTACATAAGAGGGTTTGCCATAATCCTGACGCTTTTTTTTTGAGTGGGGAATTCATCCAATGACTTCTTCCGTCCGGGTGTGGCGAGCGAGTAAGAGTGTCAGACTCTTACTGACTAAAAACCACCCCGTTCCTACTTCTGCACTTCGAGCCGGAGCACCGGCAACCCGTTAAGTCCTCTGCGGCTCCGTATCGGCATCAGCCCTACTGCGCCCTAATCTTGATGCTTCAAGTATTTTCATAGATTTTTTAGACACCACTGACCTACGGTGAAGGAAAACATCGTGAGAAAACCTGGACTTTAATTTATAATTCTAAGTTTGAAATCGTCACCTCGCATTGAGTAAGCGTAGTGATTAATGTTCAAACTTTCTCAGTGTGAGAACAGGCCTTTGGTCAGAGGTGGGCATTTATAGGCTGTTGATGATGAGTCCCTTAGTCGGTTCTTACAACACCCGTCAGAAAAGAAGGAGTGGCTATAAATGTATACTCCTCTACTGTTACCACAGGTAACGGGAATTATTTTATGCCATTAGAAAAACCAGGAACTAAATATCAGACATTATCAACCACAAATATCTATTATGCAAGTACTGTAATTATTTCAGACGTGACTAGGCTGAACCTATTGTGTTAGGATATTGAACTTAATCTAGTTTTTCATGTTTGTAGTTTGTACTGACATGTGAGTCAAAATGTCTACGACCTGTGTTTAGACAAAAACTGTATTGACGGTTTAATACGAGACTAGTATTTGCTGTGTGGCATTGTCCAGTTTACTAGGATAAAATGTGACTATTTATTAGTAGGACCATAAGTATCTAAGACCTATATGATATTTACTCAACTGTAGATATAGATCAGCTTTGAGGAGGGGCTTGAGAGACGCTACGGGGCGTCCTCACCTACCGCCTGACGCAGGTGCTTACCGGACACGGAAGTTTCGGTAGGTTCCTGTTTCGGATTGGGCGGGAGGAAACGCCCGGGTGTCATCACTGCAAGGATCGCCCGGAGGACACGGTGGAACATACGGTGGCGGAGTGTCCTGCGTGGACTGAGTACCGCTGTGTCCTCAGGAATATGATCGGCGACGGCGACCTCTCGCGTCCGGCTCTGGTTCAGACCATGGTACAGAGCGAGGGGGACTGGGATGCCGTCTCCTCCTTCTGCGAAGCAGTCAGCTAAGGAGGAGGCGCAGCGCGTGTTGGAACAAACCGCGCGTGAGGGAACAAACCTCCTCACGACCGTCGCGAGGGACACTCCGGGCGTCGGGGATCGCGAGACGATCTCCGGCCACCGTAAGCACGGGCCTGCGGACGGCGAGCACGGGAGACTCGTCGCCCGACCAGAACCAGGCCTGAGCGTACCTAGTGGCCTAACAGGGCTGATGCTGATACGGAGCCGCGGAAGACTTAACGGGTTCCCGGGGCTCCGGCTCGAAGTGCAGGAGTAGGAACGGGATGGTTTTTAGTCAGTAATAGTCTGGCACTCCCTCCCGCCTCACCCGGGCGGGAGAAGTCTTTGGATGATTTTCCCCCCTCAAAAAAAAAAAAAAGATATAGATCAGCTATGAATTCTAGAAATGCACTATACTAATTCTACTAATACATCCGAAATATCACAACACTAATGAAGAATGGGTACTTTTGCACCACCCAGTTGAACCCTACCCATCGGTGTATAAAAGGTACCAAAATAGCCTAATTAACTTTAATATCTCTCTCAGTTGTAGAAGCATTAACCCATCAAGAGCGACAACCACATTTAAATATCCTTGGTGATTCTGACGGTAATGTCACTCAACACTACACCTTGACAAGAATAGCTGCTTTCCAACAAAGGTCTCGCCAACACGAAGGAGACGGACGGTTTTAACTTAAAATGCAAATGTTATGGGGTTTTGTAGACGATGTTGGTTTACGTGTCCTATTTTGTACCTATACATGTTAGCTGGTTAACACAATGATGAATGATAGATGTCAAGTAAACCACTGAACTGTTCTGAAGTGAGTGAAGCTTCTTTTCACTGCTTTCTTAGTACTAAAGAAATGGGTATCCGCATATCCTCCGGGTACAATTCTAACCTAGAATTCAGAGCAGCTGAAAGAAAACTATGCAATGGAAAACCCTAATTATATTTCCGAAGCACAGTTCATGCCGACAGACATACCAATGATACATAAAAACAAAAATAGCAAATGAAATGGAACAATCAGTTATAAAACCTGTCCTGTTTCCTACGGAAACGGGCGACTGACATTCACCATTATATTTTATCAGACTGCTTTGACTACATATGACGCTGTTCTAGTAATAGAACTTAATGTAGCAAATTTCCCTAGTTGTTGTAATTAATTTACCACGTGTAAGGGGTATGTTACTAGGAACTGGCCTTGGCCGGATATGTCGTGGTGGCCCGGAGGTTTAAAACGCCCACTTCTCATGCATGAGGGTGCGGGTTCGAAACCTACCAACGGCAAGTACCAATGTGACTTTTTCCGAGTTATATGTACTTTCTAAAGATTATTTAGACACCACTGACAAACGGTGAAGGAAAAACATCGTGAGGAAACCTGAACTTATAATTTCTAATTATAAGTTTGAAATCGCCAACCCGCATTGAGCAAGCGTGGTGATTAATGCTCTAACCTTCGCCGTGTGAGAAGAGGCTTTGCTCAGCAGTGGGCATTTATAGGCTGTTGATGATGTTGATGACTGGCCTTGAGGACTTTAATTTATGAGTGATAAGAGTCATAATGGAGCGTTTCGTAAGCTATTCATAGATTTACATCGAAGAATTGTGTCTTGACAGTTTATTATTATTTGATAGAAAACCATATCAGTTATATGTAGCCATTAGTGAGTTTTTAAAATAACTGCAAGAAACTTATCATCATCAGCTGGAATAGGTCCAATGCTGAACTAAGACCTCCTTTAGAGGAAAGTATCGATGTTTAGTATCTAGTGATTTAGTATAGAAATTCAATAACGTTTCCATCAAAACTAAGTGCGACATATGGTTCACTGTTGTTTATATTTCCCGGGAAAGATTTATTTCAATAGATGATGTATGTAATATACCTTTTAAGTACATAATGCGATCGTGGTCTACCAATACCACAACCCATTAGGGTTGACAGATTAGTTTGGTCAGACCCATTGTCCTGTTACGTAATTCAGTGACATTTGAGTATGTCCTTTGTATGAACGGGAAAGCCTCAAAAACTACTGAACGGATTTTTGTACAGTTTTCACCAATAGATGTGCGTGATTCCTAAGGCTGGTTAGGTGTTGAATTTTTTTTAAGTTTACTTACTGCCCGCAAGTGGTGTGATGGCTTTCTCGCCTTCGTGCTGGAACATCTGCAAGGTAGCCACCGTTGCTTTCAACTGCTCATACTCGCGTGCCATCTGCTTTTGAACCTGGGGAGACAGAGAAGATTTGTCAGTTCCAGTTGATTTTCATCATCATAACCTACTAAATTAACTTAACAAGAAAATTGTTTAATTAAAGACTTTCATCATAACTTCCCCTTACTTTTTTAAGTCATTTTCTAAATATTATTCTTTTTTTACAATTTTTGCCTTTGTGTAATAATTTCCAAATACCCTAAACGCCACAGGGAGTATTCTTAGACAAAGTAATATTAAAAGGTACTGAGGCTTTAGTACGAGTTCGTTTTACATTTAAAGTAATTGAAACGAGACCGCGTTCGGCGCTCTGATTGGCCGGCTCCCAAGAACCAGCCAATCACAGCGCAGAACGCGATTTCGTTTCGTTTGAACAAACTCGTACTAAGGCCTGAGAACTAAACTTATGACCTTGCCTTTTACTTTACCTAAAATTAGTTCAAAGTACACTTATAAATAAAGGCCAAAATGTAGGTGTATGTACACCTGTCATGGTGATGGTATGTTTATGTTATGTGTCCTTAAACTAATGGTTTATTCCTACGTGGGTTATAACGAAAAACCTTGTTAAACTGTGTATCACCTCAACAAAACCATATCGAACTTTTCATTATCATATCAGACCCTATGTCTGACTGTCTGTACGCTAGGGCCTGGTTCTGGTCGGGCGGCGAGTCACCCGTGCTCGCCGTCCGTAGGCCCGCCCGTGCTTACGGTGGCCGGAGATCGTCTCGCGATCCCCGACGCCCGGAGTGTCCCTCGCTACGGCCGGGTCGTGAGGAGGTTCGTTCCCTCACGCGCTCCGCCTCCTCCTTAGCTAGCATGTCTGTAGGACATTCTTTGCTGAACTTAGATCTCCTCCATAGACTTCCAAATATATCTAACTTCTACGTTGACATTTAATGGATCCTATCGATTTCTTGTTCAAATTGTCTAGGTATATAAATCTTAACAGATAAATAAAATCAGAGTGTCTGTGTTTAATATTGGAATAACCGCATTTTGAATATAAATACGATACATATATACCAAAAATCCTTTTTAAACTTTTTTGTCTGTCTGTCTGTTTGTACTGGCAAATCTCTGAAATGGCTGGACTGATTTAGGCGGGTCTTTTACCAGCAGCTGATGTACTAAGAAGTAACATAGGCTTTTATTTTGGAAAATTGAATCAAAAAACGAGTTGTATACTAAAACTTATATTCATAATAACAGTCACTATAGGAGTGTCCTGTACAGCACTGCTTACCCTTTATGTAAACTAAAATCAGTATTATTTAAATACTACGTATCCGTAATTAACACAAGCTAATAATTCATAGTCAGTCGACCAAAAGGTGCGGTTAGCTGTGGGTGTAAAATGCGATATTAATCACAAAATCAAAATTATGCTATTAGCCGCTTACTATGCAGAAATGCAGGTCGAGATAACAGCTGCCTAATTTTAAGTCTAGACTTTAGCATACATAACCAGTCTAAAAAGTTGTTTGAATTTCTATTTGTGATTGGCTATGCCGTTGGTTTAGTGGTGGCACCTATTCAGACCTATTGGATAAATGTAGGTACTGCTGTGGACATCCATCCAGTAGGTAAAGTGTCATATGAATATGTTCATGGATATAAGGCAATTAGTTCAATTTTAATGCTGCCTACCTATTTTATGACTGTCTCGTCGCAAGTGCTACTGCTGAGCAAGGGATCTCAGGTTCATTTCCAAGGTCGGGCAAAGAATAACTAGGTTTTTTAAAATAAAATTCTCAGTAGTAGCACGAAGTCTGGATTGTGGTATATGGCAATAGGCTCACCCCCCATTACAAGGGACTCATAACATAAATAGTGAAAAGGTGGTTGTACCCCTTCGGTCTACCACTTCGGGGATAAAAGGCGTGATGATATGTTAAATTGCAATGTAAGAAATTAAAATGCAAGACGTCGAAAGAGTGTCGACAAGTCTTAATTACTTAATCCTGTAAGTAGAAAGTTGCGAAGGAATTGTCATTAACTACAAATTAAACGAAATTACTACAACTGCACACCGCCTTCAGGGGAAAGACTCACTGTATAGAATATTAACAACTATGGACGAAGTATCAACTTTTACTTGGTAAGTAGTGATAATGTAAGACTAAAGAAACAATTAAAAAAGCCGCAGAAAGTTGTGAACTAAAATTGAATGGAACCTAATATATTTTTAATGGTTTAGAATCGATGGAAACTTTATTTCATTAATGGTTTATTGTGTTTAGATTAGAACAGGTTCACACATGTGGCAATATAGACTAGACATTAGCATCAAATTGCAATCTAATCCAGACACCAATCGCTCGCGCAGACGCTAAAAACATTGAGTAACGATGCACCATACAGCTGCATACGATACGCACACAATTTTCTTGATGTGGGCACAAAAGTGAAAAGACGATCTCTCACTACGATTATCATCACAATGTTCGCGCACAATAAAAAATATCTTAATCACTTCCCACACAAAAAGTCGCAATTTGTTGAGTAACATCCGGCGATCACACGCCACATAACGTGCTTATTTTCACCTAATTTAAGCTAAAATACCTTGACCGACTTCTATAAGGAGCAACTAATAACTATATTTAAGTAGGACGGTAATTAAATCTACCCACAATGTTAACAACCTCACCGGTAATTGGGACAACGCGGTACTCGAAAACTTCACGATTCACAAGGTAGTAATAAAACTGTCCGTCAAAATAATATATGCCGTAACACTGTTCAGGTAAAGACGTAAGTGGCGTGCATAATTTTGACAGATCGGCATAGTTACAATGTTGAACAAAATTGGGCAGTCCGTACGCGTCACCGAACGACCGATATACTGCGTTGAGAAGGTTCGTCGACCCGTGCGTCGTCAACAGTTCGCGGCCGGAGTGGCTGACAGAGGCGACAACACGCATGACAATATAAAACAAGCACGACCGACGCACGGCGACAATAGAACAAACGCTTGGCGTCCTTCCAGTCACTAATTTAGACTAGGTGACCTAAACTCAAGTAAAAAGCCTGCGACTCTTAGCATCACCAATCCTGCTATTAATCAAGACGGTTATTACGAACGAACGCTAAACGAGATGAGTGGACGCTCTCGTATTATGTTTTATTGGTTCAGCCAGAACGAGTTCACGTTGTGCTTGGGCAATACTTGTCTCACTTGACGGTAAAATATGAAGTCTCTCCAGCTAACAAAAACACGATGCACATTTTCTGTAGTTGCATATGAATAAAACCTTTACAGCCAAGTTCGCTTAGTGCATAACACAGATCATGAGATTAAGAGAAGACATCTAAGCCAAAGAGCAGCAGACATCCACATTATTTGTACGAACGTAATATTTACGTAACTCTAAGAACAATAGAAATGCTGCTATTACTTTTTTACCATCTCTAGAGCAGACTATGGAAACAACGAGGCTGCAAACCGAATCACTGATTTTTTAAAATAATAAAACGTACTTAAAATAAATGATTTAATACCCAGTGCTTGGCAAGAAGTTACGTGCTCCTATGCAAATGTATGGAGGTGCAAAAACACCGCATGTCGGCAAAATAGTAAAAGTGTAACAATTTAATTACAAATGATTGGTAATCATTTAATCGATGGATTAACGTTCCAGTGCATTAACATGTAATATTTCTTGTGGAGTTTACATGAAAGAAGTTATTGAAGAATCCGAAGCGAGAATTTTTTATCGATGTTATTATATCTCGATTGATGAGATAGAAGATTTATTTACCGACTTCAGGGTCTATCGAATAGGATTTTGAAAGATAGATAGTGCATTCACATTGATAGGACAAATTGTAACAACAAAAATGTTAGTTGAAATTTTTGTTTGTGAAGCTAAAAGCCGCATTAATTGAATTACAATCGTCGAATTTCGCTCGAAAACAAAGGATTTTATTACAACAGCCCACATCTAGACTGTAGCAAAACAAAAGTGATGTGTATTTAATTAAATATCTGAGTCCTATGAAAAACAATACACATGTAAATCCCTTGATGGTGGCGAGACTAGTGCTCACTTATGTATGGACGAATTATTCCTTTGTTTTTGTCCTGAAAAGCAATTGGCTTTGCCTGTCAACACAACATGTTCCACGCAAAAACTTTCTCATAAATTAGGCTTTTCTATTACAAAAAGAAGGAGCAGTTTGTTCAAACTCTTAAAGTTCTAAATTATTATAACTTTTTGCAGTATTTTAGACATTCTAGAGACACGAAACGAATAAAGCTAAAAGAAAGGTGTTTTAGTGTTTCTAGGTTACCATAATTCTAAATGTTTATGGGGCCATTTAAATGTGCCGACTTCGAAAACTGGTTCACACTTCCAGCGTGCCCGAATACCCTTTTAAGTTTATCGTCTTAAATGACTAAAAAAAGAACGAAAATATGTCTGAAATGTTTTTAAAACTTAACTACGGAATATAATGTTACTAAAAAGATGTGAAAAAAGAAATTAGTGTAGAAATAGAAGAAAGTCTTCAAAGTGTCTGTATATTTCCCATAAGTTTCTATAAGAACAATCAATAGATTAGAAAAACGCTTTTTACATCACCCCTCTCAGAAACCAACACGGCAAAACACGGATCTGAGCCAAAGTTACTAAGTATTACATTTTAATAAAAATAAGAAGCCATTCAAGGTTAAAACCGCAACTAGTGCCAAAACTCCATTGTTACGCCGAAGGTCATACATTGGATTAAGTGAGTTACATCAGCAACAGGCTGAATAAACTAGATCTCTTACAAAACGAATTTATTAAGGTTTCACTTGGGCTGTACAAAAACCGTCCACCACAACAAGGACAGACTATACTATACAATTTTCAATCTATTTTGTGTTTTACTAACAAGATTATTGTGTAACTAGACTATCGGATTATAAGGTCATCCGATACAAGCTTGTCTAAATCCTGATTAGCAGTTTTGTTGTGATTATCATTCAATTAGCCCAAGGCTCCTTTTCACATGGGAAGTCC